TTCCGAGTGCTCAAGAAGCATGTGGAAGACGGCTCCGTTGGCGATCTCAAGGTGGTCAAGTGCTGCAGCAGGGACAACCCTGTGCCGCCAATGGAGTACTTGCGCACCAGCGGAGGCATCTTCCACGACATGCTGATCCACGATTTCGATATGCTCAACTGGCTCAGCGGGGGCCAGGAGCCGGAGTCCGTGATGTCTGTGGGCCACGCCTACAACAAGGAGATCGAGGAGATGGGTGACATCGACACTGTCGCCGTGACGCTAAAGTACCCCAGTGGCCTCATAGCAATGGTGGACACGTGCCGCGACGCCTCGTACGGCTACGACCAGCGCATCGAGGCGTTTGGCGCCAAGGGCATGTTGACGGCGAAGAACGTGCTCACCAGCACCGTGGAGCTGGCCACTTCCGAAGGCCACCTAATGCCCTGTGCGCAGTGGAGCTTTCCTCAGCGCTACAAGGAGGCGTACACCACCGAGCTCAATGAGTTCATCACGATGGTGCGTGCAGGGGTCGACAGCGAGCACCACCGCCTTGAGCAAGAGGCGATGTCGCGCCACCCGAGCATCGTGCGCACCACGATCGCCGCCGAGCTGTCGTGGAAGCTCGGCCGCTCTGTCGACCTGAAGGACTTGGATGGGCTGCTTCTCGAGAGCGAGAAAGGCCCCGAGTCTGACACGCGCAGCACCTGCGACTCGTGCCCCAGCCTGGAGAACCACAGCTCTGACGATGGCAAGAATATGTTCGGGGACACGTTCCGTAACTACGAGGACTCCTGCAGGCAGGAGGAGGTGGCAAGGACGTACAACACGATGCACACCAAGCAGACGGTGGACTTCGGGCGACAGCAGCGTGACCGCTGGCTCAGGTTCCAGAAGGGAGAGTTCACCGTGATGGAAGTCATCGAGATGCTCGACGACCTCGTCGACGATTCTGATCCCGACGTGGACCTTCCGAACAGCATCCACGACTTCCAGACGGCGGAGCGCATCCGCGCCCAGTGGCCTGACCACGACTGGTTCCACTTGGTGGGACTGCTGCACGACCTCGGGAAGGTCATGGCGCTGCCGAGGTTCGCCGGGGACTGGGCCCTGGAGCAGTGGGCCGTCGTGGGCGACACCTTCCCGGTGGGGTGCGCCCCTGCCATGGATGCCGTCGTGTTCCCCGAGTCTTTCAAGCAGAACCCCGACTACAACCATCCGGTGTACGGGACGCAGAACGGCATCTACGAGCCAGGCTGCGGCATCTCCAACCTGATGTTCTCCTGGGGCCACGACGAGTACATGTATCAGATGCTCAAGTTCAACGGCTGCACCATCCCCGAGGAGGGTCTCAACATGATTCGGCTTCACTCGTGCTACCCGTGGCACGACAAGCGCGCTTACAAGCACTTCGAGGCCCCGGAGGACACGGAGACGCTTCGCTGGGTGAAGGAGTTCAACAAGTTCGATCTGTACTCCAAGGGCGACGCAGTCCCCGATGTCGAGGCACTGAAGCCCTACTACGAGTCTTTGCTCGCCAAGTACGGCATCAGCGGTAAGCTGCGGTGGTGAAGCGAGAATGGTGCGTCAGGAGGGCCAGGTTAGCTCTCAGCCCCTTGCCATCTTCGACGCTTTCTGTGGATGGCGGGAAGGAGGAATCAGTTGTGCTCAGAGGAGGAGGAGGAGCAAAAGGAGTTTCATCGTGGGGATCGAAGGGGAACGCTCGGCGGCGTGAAAAGTGCCCCTCCTGATCAGTTCAGGGGGTTCGCACTTTCGTGTCAGGCTCCAGAGCGCCGCTTTGTTGCGCTCTGCTCCGCACAGGGCCTGCTCAGACGTGTTTTTTTATTGCGAAGGCCTTACGGCCGTTGCCGCCGACCCTGAAGATGACGAAAGACAACGCGAGGGGGGGGGCAGGAGGAGGAGGAGGAGGAGGAGGCGGAAGGGAGTAGGAGGAGGAAGGGTGAAGGGGGAGGAGGAGGAGGCCTTATGGATGTTGGTTGGGATCTCGTGGTTGACCTCTCGGGGGCGTCTGGAAGGCAACTTGAAGCCTCTTGGGGGCCGTTGTGGGGCCTCTTGGGGCCTCTTTTGGGCCTCTTGGGGCTTCCGGAGGCCGTCTTCGGCGCATCTTGGGGGCGTCTTGGCGCCGCTCGGGGGCCTCTTGGGGCCTTTTGGGGGCCTCTTGGGGCTTCCCGGGGGCCTCTTAGGGCGGAAGTCTCGAATTCTCGGTTCCTCGTCCCCCTCTTGGCCGTTTCTTGGGCCCGTCTTGGGGCCCTATTGGGCCGTCTTGGGCGCCTCTTAGGCTGTCCTGGGGCCTTCTTGGGCCGTCTTGGGGCCCTCTTGTAGGCCTCTTGGGGCGCTCTTGGGGGCCTCTTGGGGGCCTCTTGGGCCGTCTTGGAGTGTCGGAAAGCCGAAAAGGCGAGAAGGCCAAAATCATTCAAAAACCGATGTAAAATTGACGATTTTGGCGCCTGGGGCCCTCTTGGGTGTGCTCTTGGGGCTCTCTTGGAGCGTCTTGAGGGCCTCTTGGGCCGTCTTCGGGCCGTCTTGGGCGTCTTGGGGCCATCGTTCGTCGAGTCGAGGCCCTCTTGTACCCTTTTGGGGGTGTCTTCTGTCGCTCTTGGCTCGTCTTGAAGCTTTTCTGAGCTCCGGGACCCCCCGGGGAGGATGCGTATCTGGGTGGCGACCCCCCCCCCCACCCCCCACCCCCCCTGGCGGGGAGGGTAGGGAGGGGCTTCGCCACGACTCAACTACGACGTTGCTCAATGTCGCTTTGGCTCGCGCGCTCAAGGAGACGGGGAACGACGAAGACGACGAGGGACAACGGAGACGGAGACGACGAGAACACGACGGAGACGACGACGACGACGACGACGACGACGACGACGGTGATCCACGCAAGACGACGACACCGGGATGCGTCTTCCACACGCCGACAGGGTCGGCGGATTTCTTTGAGCAGCACTTTAAGAGTGGCCCTTTCAATGTTGTCCCCGCGGGCTAGCCGGGTCTTGCTTGGTCCGCCTGCGCGCGTCGAAGGCGCGAGATTGTTTAAAGAGCGCCCCACCTTTGCCATTTGAAGCCGTCGTGGGTGCTGGTGCTTGACCAGCTTGGCCACCGCAGGACCTCCGAGTCAAGGCGAGGCGTCATTCTCGCAGCGACTCCTCCCTGCTCCGGGTGCACCCTCCGGTCATTCGCAGCCGGCCAGCAGGGCGCATTTGGATTCAAAGCGATCGCGGCCCCTGGAGGGCGTTGCAGAGCTTTGAACAGCGCCGCCTCTAGCCCCCACAGACACTTGGCATGCTCGACGTGGCCGCGACAGAACTTTAGTTTGGCCGTGTCAGGCCCCCGGGCCGCGAGAGGGCGCTTCTCGAAAGAGCCGTGCGCAACACGTATCTCTCCCGAGGAGCTTTTTCGAAGCTGCTTCTCGACGGCCCGGGCGTGCGCAAGGCACGCGGCACTGCCTCGGTTATCGGAGGAGTCGCCGCGGCATCAAGGGGGGAGTTTTTTGTTGCGTTTTCTTCATTTTCCGAATTGGAGTCTGGCTGTCTCCAGGGGGGAGTGTCACTCTCTGGCAGTTCTCGTCGCTGGAGAGAGGAGTCAGGTCTTGGAGGTAGCGCCGATGCGAGAACTGCCCGCTGGCACTCCCTCGCTGTCGAGCCCGGACGTTTGCATGGTGCGGTGAGACCCACGGGGCTGTCGAGGCTCTCATCCAGCGCGCGTGAGCAGCAGCCAGCACTCAAGAAGGGAAGTTGAAGCGGAACATGTTTTGATATCTGATGTGCGCTCGTGTTGCTGCTCACGCGCAGCCCAGGGTGGTGCCGAGACCGACTGTCACATAGCATGCTCCGTGCGAGATCCAGGCGCAGGCAGCGCATACATACCCTCTGGCGCGAAGTAGGCCCCAGGGGATAACAATGTGACGACGCAGGTCCGACGTGGCTCATTCTGCCACTCAAAGGAAAAGTTTGCCCACGCTGTCGGACCAGGCATCTTGGGGGCCGTTGGGGGCTTCTGGGGGGCCTCCTTGGCTGTCTGACGGCGTTCCTGGTCCGTCTGACGCCGTCGGAAGCCGCCTAGGGGGGAAACGCATGCGGGCTGCGCCCCTGGGACCGTCGGTGGAGCTCCCTACGGGGCCACGAAAAGCTGTATTGGGTGGGGGGGACGCATGCGGGCTGCGACACTGGGACCTTTGGTGGAGTTCCCTATGAGGCCACGAAGTGCTGTGCTGGGTGTGGGAGACGCATGCGGGCTGCGCCGCTGGGACCTTCGGTGGGGCTCCCTATGTGGCCACGAAACGCTGTGCTGGGTGGGGGAGACGCATGCGGGCTGCGCCACTGGGGCCGTCGGTGGAGCTCCCTATGGGGCCACGAAGCGCTGTGAGGGGTGTGCCAAAGTGAGGGGGGGGACGGGATGAGGGAGGAGGTGGGGGAGGAGAGGAGAGGAGGAGAGGAGGAGAGGAGGAGGAGGACCGCGGGGCGTTGTCTCTTCAAAATGAGGATCCACCACCATAGGATGGTTGGGACATATGTTTTCGCGTTCTCGCCTTTTCGGGCTTCCGACGGCCTGGGAGGCCCCCAAGAGACCCGCAAGACGGCCCCAAGGCAGCCCAAGAGGCCCCCAAGACGCCCCCAAGACGGTCCCAGAGACCTCCAAGACGGCACCCAAGCGCCCAAAGAGGGTTCTACGACTGCCCAGGAAGGATCCAAGACGGCTTCCGAAGGCCAGGGGGCTCCCAACAAGCCCCCAAGAGGTCCCCGAGAGGTCCCAGGGGACCCCCAAGAGGCGCCAGGAGGCCCCCCAAATGCTCCTAAGAGCCCCCTCAAAAAAAGGCTCCCAGGAAGTCCCCAAGAGCCCCAAGACGGCCTCAAGAGGGCCTCCTCCTCTTCCTCCTCCGCCTTCTCTCCTCCCTCTCCTCCTCCTTTCTCGTCCTCTCCCCAGTGTTCCTCCAAGGGGTTCCAACGCGGCTGGGGGAGCACATATAGTCCAATAGCTTGGCTTGACTTGGGCCCAACGTTCGGCCAATGGGGTCCGTCATGAGCCATTTTGGCCTCAAGACGCGCACGCCGCCCGCACCCCAGCGCTTCCCCGCGCGCCTCCTCGCAGCCACCCCCGCCGCGATGTCCGGGCCCGACGCGCGCGTCGGCGTGGCGCTCGTGGGGCTCGGGCGGGCCGGCCACTTCCACATGACCTCCCTCGCCGGCATCCCCGATCGGGCGCGGCTCGCTTGGGTCGTGGATGTGGACGGGGCCCGGGCCGAGGGCATCGCCGCGCGGCAGGGCTGCAAATGGGCCACATCCCTGGCGCCCGCGCTGGCGGATCCCGGCGTGCAGGTTGTGGTCGTGGCGTCGACAACGGACACCCACTTCCCTTTCATCATGGAGGCGCTGACCGCCAACAAGTCGGTGCTCACGGAGAAGCCCATCTCCCACGAGCTGAAGGAAGTGGAGGAGGCGGTGCAGCTGGCAACAAGCAAGAACCTGCCTCTGTACTGTGGCTACCAGAGGCGCTGTGACAACAATTTCCGAGTGCTCAAGAAGCACGTGGAAGACGGCTCCGTGGGCGATCTCAAGGTGGTCAAGTGCTGCAGCAGGGACAACCCTGTGCCGCCAATGGAGTACTTGCGCACCAGCGGAGGCATCTTCCACGACATGCTGATCCACGATTTCGATATGCTCAACTGGCTCAGCGGGGGCCAGGAGCCGGAGTCCGTGATGTCTGTGGGCCACGCCTACAACAAGGAGATCGAGGAGATGGGTGACATCGACACTGTCGCCGTGACGCTAAAGTACCCCAGTGGCCTCATAGCAATGGTGGACACGTGCCGCGACGCCTCGTACGGCTACGACCAGCGCATCGAGGCGTTTGGCGCCAAGGGCATGTTGACGGCGAAGAACGTGCTCACCAGCACCGTGGAGCTGGCCACTTCCGAAGGCCACCTAATGCCCTGTGCGCAGTGGAGCTTTCCTCAGCGCTACAAGGAGGCGTACACCACCGAGCTCAATGAGTTCATCACGATGGTGCGTGCAGGGGTCGACAGCGAGCACCACCGCCTTGAGCAAGAGGCGATGTCGCGCCACCCGAGCATCGTGCGCACCACGATCGCCGCCGAGCTGTCGTGGAAGCTCGGCCGCTCTGTCGACCTGAAGGACTTGGATGGGCTGCTTCTCGAGAGCGAGAAAGGCCCCGAGTCTGACACGCGCAGCACCTGCGACTCGTGCCCCAGCCTGGAGAACCACAGCTCTGACGATGGCAAGAATATGTTCGGGGACACGTTCCGTAACTACGAGGACTCCTGCAGGCAGGAGGAGGTGGCAAGGACGTACAACACGATGCACACCAAGCAGACGGTGGACTTCGGGCGACAGCAGCGTGACCGCTGGCTCAGGTTCCAGAAGGGAGAGTTCACCGTGATGGAAGTCATCGAGATGCTCGACGACCTCGTCGACGATTCTGATCCCGACGTGGACCTTCCGAACAGCATCCACGACTTCCAGACGGCGGAGCGCATCCGCGCCCAGTGGCCTGACCACGACTGGTTCCACTTGGTGGGACTGCTGCACGACCTCGGGAAGGTCATGGCGCTGCCGAGGTTCGCCGGGGACTGGGCCCTGGAGCAGTGGGCCGTCGTGGGCGACACCTTCCCGGTGGGGTGCGCCCCTGCCATGGATGCCGTCGTGTTCCCCGAGTCTTTCAAGCAGAACCCCGACTACAACCATCCGGTGTACGGGACGCAGAACGGCATCTACGAGCCAGGCTGCGGCATCTCCAACCTGATGTTCTCCTGGGGCCACGACGAGTACATGTATCAGATGCTCAAGTTCAACGGCTGCACCATCCCCGAGGAGGGTCTCAACATGATTCGGCTTCACTCGTGCTACCCGTGGCACGACAAGCGCGCTTACAAGCACTTCGAGGCCCCGGAGGACACGGAGACGCTTCGCTGGGTGAAGGAGTTCAACAAGTTCGATCTGTACTCCAAGGGCGACGCAGTCCCCGATGTCGAGGCACTGAAGCCCTACTACGAGTCTTTGCTCGCCAAGTACGGCATCAGCGGTAAGCTGCGGTGGTGAAGCGAGAATGGTGCGTCAGGAGGGCCAGGTTAGCTCTCAGCCCCTTGCCATCTTCGACGCTTTCTGTGGATGGCGGGAAGGAGGAATCAGTTGTGCTCAGAGGAGGAGGAGGAGCAAAAGGAGTTTCATCGTGGGGATCGAAGGGGAACGCTCGGCGGCGTGAAAAGTGCCCCTCCTGATCAGTTCAGGGGGTTCGCACTTTCGTGTCAGGCTCCAGAGCGCCGCTTTGTTGCGCTCTGCTCCGCACAGGGCCTGCTCAGACGTGTTTTTTTTATTGCGAAGGCCTTACGGCCGTTGCCGCCGACCCTGAAGATGACGAAAGACAACGCGAGGGGGGGGGCAGGAGGAGGAGGAGGAGGAGGAGGCGGAAGGGAGTAGGAGGAGGAAGGGTGAAGGGGGAGGAGGAGGAGGCCTTATGGATGTTGGTTGGGATCTCGTGGTTGACCTCTCGGGGGCGTCTGGAAGGCAACTTGAAGCCTCTTGGGGGCCGTTGTGGGGCCTCTTGGGGCCTCTTTTGGGCCTCTTGGGGCTTCCGGAGGCCGTCTTCGGCGCATCTTGGGGGCGTCTTGGCGCCGCTCGGGGGCCTCTTGGGGCCTTTTGGGGGCCTCTTGGGGCTTCCCGGGGGCCTCTTAGGGCGGAAGTCTCGAATTCTCGGTTCCTCGTCCCCCTCTTGGCCGTTTCTTGGGCCCGTCTTGGGGCCCTATTGGGCCGTCTTGGGCGCCTCTTAGGCTGTCCTGGGGCCTTCTTGGGCCGTCTTGGGGCCCTCTTGTAGGCCTCTTGGGGCGCTCTTGGGGGCCTCTTGGGGGCCTCTTGGGCCGTCTTGGAGTGTCGGAAAGCCGAAAAGGCGAGAAGGCCAAAATCATTCAAAAACCGATGTAAAATTGACGATTTTGGCGCCTGGGGCCCTCTTGGGTGTGCTCTTGGGGCTCTCTTGGAGCGTCTTGAGGGCCTCTTGGGCCGTCTTCGGGCCGTCTTGGGCGTCTTGGGGCCATCGTTCGTCGAGTCGAGGCCCTCTTGTACCCTTTTGGGGGTGTCTTCTGTCGCTCTTGGCTCGTCTTGAAGCTTTTCTGAGCTCCGGGACCCCCCGGGGAGGATGCGTATCTGGGTGGCGACCCCCCCCCCCCACCCCCCACCCCCCCTGGCGGGGAGGGTAGGGAGGGGCTTCGCCACGACTCAACTACGACGTTGCTCAATGTCGCTTTGGCTCGCGCGCTCAAGGAGACGGGGAACGACGAAGACGACGAGGGACAACGGAGACGGAGACGACGAGAACACGACGGAGACGACGACGACGACGACGACGACGACGACGACGGTGATCCACGCAAGACGACGACACCGGGATGCGTCTTCCACACGCCGACAGGGTCGGCGGATTTCTTTGAGCAGCACTTTAAGAGTGGCCCTTTCAATGTTGTCCCCGCGGGCTAGCCGGGTCTTGCTCGGTCCGCCTGCGCGCGTCGAAGGCGCGAGATTGTTTAAAGAGCGCCCCACCTTTGCCATTTGAAGCCGTCGTGGGTGCTGGTGCTTGACCAGCTTGGCCACCGCAGGACCTCCGAGTCAAGGCGAGGCGTCATTCTCGCAGCGACTCCTCCCTGCTCCGGGTGCACCCTCCGGTCATTCGCAGCCGGCCAGCAGGGCGCATTTGGATTCAAAGCGATCGCGGCCCCTGGAGGGCGTTGCAGAGCTTTGAACAGCGCCGCCTCTAGCCCCCACAGACACTTGGCATGCTCGACGTGGCCGCGACAGAACTTTAGTTTGGCCGTGTCAGGCCCCCGGGCCGCGAGAGGGCGCTTCTCGAAAGAGCCGTGCGCAACACGTATCTCTCCCGAGGAGCTTTTTCGAAGCTGCTTCTCGACGGCCCGGGCGTGCGCAAGGCACGCGGCACTGCCTCGGTTATCGGAGGAGTCGCCGCGGCATCAAGGGGGGAGTTTTTTGTTGCGTTTTCTTCATTTTCCGAATTGGAGTCTGGCTGTCTCCAGGGGGGAGTGTCACTCTCTGGCAGTTCTCGTCGCTGGAGAGAGGAGTCAGGTCTTGGAGGTAGCGCCGATGCGAGAACTGCCCGCTGGCACTCCCTCGCTGTCGAGCCCGGACGTTTGCATGGTGCGGTGAGACCCACGGGGCTGTCGAGGCTCTCATCCAGCGCGCGTGAGCAGCAGCCAGCACTCAAGAAGGGAAGTTGAAGCGGAACATGTTTTGATATCTGATGTGCGCTCGTGTTGCTGCTCACGCGCAGCCCAGGGTGGTGCCGAGACCGACTGTCACATAGCATGCTCCGTGCGAGATCCAGGCGCAGGCAGCGCATACATACCCTCTGGCGCGAAGTAGGCCCCAGGGGATAACAATGTGACGACGCAGGTCCGACGTGGCTCATTCTGCCACTCAAAGGAAAAGTTTGCCCACGCTGTCGGACCAGGCATCTTGGGGGCCGTCGGGGGCTTCTGGGGGGCCTCCTTGGCTGTCTGACGGCGTTCCTGGTCCGTCTGACGCCGTCGGAAGCCGCCTAGGGGGGAAACGCATGCGGGCTGCGCCCCTGGGACCGTCGGTGGAGCTCCCTACGGGGCCACGAAAAGCTGTATTGGGTGGGGGGGACGCATGCGGGCTGCGACACTGGGACCTTTGGTGGAGTTCCCTATGAGGCCACGAAGTGCTGTGCTGGGTGTGGGAGACGCATGCGGGCTGCGCCGCTGGGACCTTCGGTGGGGCTCCCTATGTGGCCACGAAACGCTGTGCTGGGTGGGGGAGACGCATGCGGGCTGCGCCACTGGGGCCGTCGGTGGAGCTCCCTATGGGGCCACGAAGCGCTGTGAGGGGTGTGCCAAAGTGAGGGGGGGGACGGGATGAGGGAGGAGGTGGGGGAGGAGAGGAGAGGAGGAGAGGAGGAGAGGAGGAGGAGGACCGCGGGGCGTTGTCTCTTCAAAATGAGGATCCACCACCATAGGATGGTTGGGACATATGTTTTCGCGTTCTCGCCTTTTCGGGCTTCCGACGGCCTGGGAGGCCCCCAAGAGACCCGCAAGACGGCCCCAAGGCAGCCCAAGAGGCCCCCAAGACGCCCCCAAGACGGTCCCAGAGACCTCCAAGACGGCACCCAAGCGCCCAAAGAGGGTTCTACGACTGCCCAGGAAGGATCCAAGACGGCTTCCGAAGGCCAGGGGGCTCCCAACAAGCCCCCAAGAGGTCCCCGAGAGGTCCCAGGGGACCCCCAAGAGGCGCCAGGAGGCCCCCCAAATGCTCCTAAGAGCCCCCTCAAAAAAAGGCTCCCAGGAAGTCCCCAAGAGCCCCAAGACGGCCTCAAGAGGGCCTCCTCCTCTTCCTCCTCCGCCTTCTCTCCTCCCTCTCCTCCTCCTTTCTCGTCCTCTCCCCAGTGTTCCTCCAAGGGGTTCCAACGCGGCTGGGGGAGCACATATAGTCCAATAGCTTGGCTTGACTTGGGCCCAACGTTCGGCCAATGGGGTCCGTCATGAGCCATTTTGGCCTCAAGACGCGCACGCCGCCCGCACCCCAGCGCTTCCCCGCGCGCCTCCTCGCAGCCACCCCCGCCGCGATGTCCGGGCCCGACGCGCGCGTCGGCGTGGCGCTCGTGGGGCTCGGGCGGGCCGGCCACTTCCACATGACCTCCCTCGCCGGCATCCCCGATCGGGCGCGGCTCGCTTGGGTCGTGGATGTGGACGGGGCCCGGGCCGAGGGCATCGCCGCGCGGCAGGGCTGCAAATGGGCCACATCCCTGGCGCCCGCCCTGGCGGATCCCGGCGTGCAGGTTGTGGTCGTGGCGTCGACAACGGACACCCACTTCCCTTTCATCATGGAGGCGCTGGCCGCCAACAAGTCGGTGCTCACGGAGAAGCCCATCTCCCACGAGCTGAAGGAAGTGGAGGAGGCGGTGCAGCTGGCAACAAGCAAGAACCTGCCTCTGTACTGTGGCTACCAGAGGCGCTGTGACAACAATTTCCGAGTGCTCAAGAAGCACGTGGAAGACGGCTCCGTGGGCGATCTCAAGGTGGTCAAGTGCTGCAGCAGGGACAACCCTGTGCCGCCAATGGAGTACTTGCGCACCAGCGGAGGCATCTTCCACGACATGCTGATCCACGATTTCGATATGCTCAACTGGCTCAGCGGGGGCCAGGAGCCGGAGTCCGTGATGTCTGTGGGCCACGCCTACAACAAGGAGATCGAGGAGATGGGTGACATCGACACTGTCGCCGTGACGCTAAAGTACCCCAGTGGCCTCATTGCAATGGTGGACACGTGCCGCGACGCCTCGTACGGCTACGACCAGCGCATCGAGGCGTTTGGCGCCAAGGGCATGTTGACGGCGAAGAACGTGCTCACCAGCACCGTGGAGCTGGCCACTTCCGAAGGCCACCTAATGCCCTGTGCGCAGTGGAGCTTTCCTCAGCGCTACAAGGAGGCGTACACCACCGAGCTCAATGAGTTCATCACGATGGTGCGTGCAGGGGTCGACAGCGAGCACCACCGCCTTGAGCAAGAGGCGATGTCGCGCCACCCGAGCATCGTGCGCACCACGATCGCCGCCGAGCTGTCGTGGAAGCTCGGCCGCTCTGTCGACCTGAAGGACTTGGATGGGCTGCTTCTCGAGAGCGAGAAAGGCCCCGAGTCTGAAACGCGCAGCACCTGCGACTCGTGCCCCAGCCTGGAGAACCACAGCTCTGACGATGGCAAGAATATGTTCGGGGACACGTTCCGTAACTACGAGGACTCCTGCCGGCAGGAGGAGGTGGCAAGGACGTACAACACGATGCACACCAAGCAGACGGTGGACTTCGGGCGACAGCAGCGTGACCGCTGGCTCAGGTTCCAGAAGGGAGAGTTCACCGTGATGGAAGTCATCGAGATGCTCGACGACCTCGTCGACGATTCTGATCCCGACGTGGACCTTCCGAACAGCATCCACGACTTCCAGACGGCGGAGCGCATCCGCGCCCAGTGGCCTGACCACGACTGGTTCCACTTAGTGGGGCTGCTGCACGACCTCGGGA